TCAGCTTAAAAACCTGTGATAACTTTCCATTGTTTATAGGCAGCGGTGACAAAATACGTAACAACCAGTATGGCATGGCACTAATATTATCAGGCATGCTGGTCCTTAGCAGGGATGCACAGCTAATGGGATCTCTGATAGTCCAGATTTTAACCCTTTATTTGCTGATCTTGTAGAAGACAGGGTCTTTAGGCAGGGGCTGCTTCAGCTCAGGTCATAGGGACTGGAGGGGAACACTCGGGAAGTTTGTGGCAGTGGCTAGTATAAAACAATTTTACTTTTTCAACAACTGGTATGACCATGTGGATGCATACTGATTAAATATCAGCCCTGTCTGTAGGGTAAATTTAATAATATTGACTTGCAGTCTGACTCTGAGTTTTCTTCCCAGCAATCTCCCCACACCACTCCACTTCATTCCAAAATACATTTCTGGCCACTTTCAACATGCCATATAGTTTAACCCCCCTCTGTGTTTGCCCATGGTGTTTTCTCTGCTGGGAGGATCTTCCATCTTTGCCTCTGCTTATGTTTGAAGGCTTGGCTTAAATATCTTTTTCTCAGTGAAGTTTCTCCCAACCTGACCATCTCCCTTGAGTGCACCTCTTGGCTAAGTTGCACGTTTTCATCATTTTTGTCTAGCATGGTGTGTAAGTGTGTGGATGCTTAATAACATCTGATAGAAGCATTAATCCTAATACACTTTCCCCTCCAAGGGTGGTCTTAAAGCAGTTATCTGGACGGATGTTTTTCAAGTTGGGATCATGGTGGCTGGATTTGCAACTGTGATTATACGGGCTGTGGTGGTTCAAGGTGGAATCAACGTTATTTTAAGTGATGCCTATAACGGCGGAAGATTAAACTTCTGGAAGTAAGTTGCTATTTACCTCTTGGTTAATAGAACGTATCTTTTGTTTTCTCTTAAAAATAATTTCTTTATTGAAATAGAAAGTTTACATTCGAAAACAAACCAACAAAACCACTAAGGATGTGGCATAGCAAACTGAAGCTGGAGAATAAATGTGTAGGGTTTTCCATGTGCTCTTTAAGGGGTTGAAACAGACAAGTGGTACTTAGTTACATGGTACTTAGGATGATGCTTCTTCTTGAGAAGGGGTTTATGGCAAAAGAGTATTTTCTTCCAGATATGAAAGTCCAGAATAGGTTGAAAGTTAAGGCAGGATGATAAGGGAAGTGGAAACATAAGAAAAGGAAGCCTTTTAGGAGACAGACACTAGAAAACATTGATTCCATTTTGACAATTATTTGTTTTAATCAGCCCTGAGAGTTTCTCTTTTGATATTGCCCTGACAATATATAGTGTATTAATATAGTTTATTATGATTGTGTAGTATAATCATATGTATGTGTATGTTATATACATACATGT